CCCCAAAACCCCAAAACCCCAAAACCCCAAAACCCCAAAACCCCAAAACCCCGATTTTATTCCCTAATGTTGAGCCAGAGATTAAATCACCAAATATTTATTGCTTGCGAGCATTTTGTTGGATCTCGGATAATCTGAAGTTAGAGATATTGGCCTCTCTCAAATCGTCTGAGTGATAAATGTCCATTAAATATGATGTCATGTAGATCAACTCTTCATCCAATGGGACATCTCCTCTGAAATCATTGATTGGGACTCCATTGTCTAGGTTGAAAGCAAAAGCTACGATCGAATTATCAACAATCACCATTTCTTCCAGCTTCCTGTCTGAAATGATTCTAAGGTCTTTCACGTAGAAGTTGTCAACATGGACACAACTCTCTCTGCTAAGAATATGCTTGATGTATTGTCCATCTGGATCAAAATGTTTGATAATCTTAGTGGCATAGGTTCTCTCAGCAGCAGTGAAGACAGCAACCTCATAAAGCTCGCTTAATTTTTCCAGGCACTCGACAAGTCCAGGTCTCATCTTTACCATGAAGGCAAGTTCGGAGCCATATTCATCATCCTTAAGTACGATTTCAAAATCGGGTTCGAAGTCTTCATTTTCTTTAATCTTTGGCTTTGCATGGATCAATGTCTCGTCCATATCCAAAATTAAGGTCTTTTGTCTTTCCATTGTGCCGAATTCTACTTTCAATTCCTGGATTTTCTCCAATGTTGGTCTCTCAAGAGAGTCGAAAGAGAGGAGGAGATTCTTAAGATCATCATCGACAAGCTCCATTGCATCTTTCTTCTCGTCCATTTCTTCATCATAGCCATCACTGCAGGATCCGTATGATTCCTCATCATCATCAGCAAGTAAGAACTTCTTGACTTTGGAGGTACCCTTCTCTCCATTGTTTTCGGTCTTTTCATCTTCTTCAGGAGTTTCGAGAATTTTCTCAATATTATCTAGATCACCCTTGTGGACCTTTCCCATCTCTTTATCAATGTTGTCCATGGTTCTGTGCTTGAGGTCTAAGGCAGACCCGATTAGAGAGGACGGGAACCTGATACAACTCATTGTTCCCTTAATCTTGTTCTCAGACACTCTGAATCGCAATGCTCTTTGTGAGAAGTTATTACGCGGCTTAGAAGAGTCATCTGTGATCGACTGGTACTTAGAGAATCCTTCCATGCTGGATTTAAGAAATTTATATAATTGAAGATCAATTTTAGGGCAATGATAAGGGGTTTTGGGGTTTTGGGGTTTTGGGGTTTTGGGG